GATGTGGTTTCATGGACTGCCCTTGTTTCTGCTTTCATGAATGAAGGCCTTTTTGAAGAGGCAATTGAGGTTTTCAAGTCCATGCAGCTGAACGGGGTCAAGCCTGATTTGATCTCTTGGAATGCACTTGTATCGGGGTTTGCACACAATGGAGAGATTGATTTAGCTCTTCAATATTTGGAAGCAATGCAAGAAGAAGGGTTGAGGCCGAGGGCTAATACTTGGAATGGAATCATTTCGGGTTGTATTCAGAATGAGTATTTCGAGGATGCTTTGGATGCGTTCTATAATATGTTATGTTTCCCCGAGGATCCAAATTTTGTTACAATTGCAAGCATTTTACCAGCTTGTGCAGGCCTAAAAGATTTAAACTTAGGCAGGGCTGTTCATGGGTTTGCTCTGAAGCGTCAGCTTTGTGGAAACATGCACGTGGAAGGTTCATTAATTGATATGTATTCAAAATGTGGGATGAAAGATTACGCAGAGAATATCTTTTCCAAGGCAGAGAACAAAAGTATTGCCATGTGGAATGAGATGATTGCAGTTTATGTAAATGCAGGAGACGCAAGGAAGGGATTAGAGCTTCTTAGAGTGATGCATCATTTTGGCTTAAAACCTGACGTGGTATCTTATAACACAATATTGGCTGGCCATGCAAGAAATGGGCAAATAAATGAGGCATATGAGCTGCTTTATGAGATGGCCCGGATGGAGTTGAAGCCAAATATTATTTCTTTCAACGTTTTGATTTCTGGTTTTCAACAATTTGGGCTTAGTTTTGAAGCTTTGAAATTGTTCCAGACCATGCAATCCCCATTGAATGGTTGCGTTGGTAATGATGTGCTCCATGAGTCAACCCAACCAAACTCCATTACTATTGCCGGTGCTCTTGCAGCTTGTGCTGATCTGAATCTACCATGCCAAGGGAAGCAAATCCATGGATACGCGTTAAAGAATGGCTTTGAGCCTAATATCTATATCTCAAGCGCATTGGTTGACATGTATTCAAAATGTCTTGATATTGTTTCAGCAACTAAAGTATTCAGGAGAACTGAAGATAGAAACACAATCTGTTGGAATACTTTGATTGCAGGCCATGTCCACAACATGCAGCTGGACCGAGCTCTTGAACTTTTCTGTGAAATGCTGGAAGAAGGTCTTGGACCAAGCTCTATTACGCTTATGATACTTCTCCTCACTTGTGGTGATATGGAAGCTCTGAGATTTGGAAGAGAATTACATGGCCATATCATAAAGAGTAAGCTCAATCAATCTAATTATGCCCTTGCAAGTGCCTTGATAGGCATGTATGCTAAGTGTGGTAGAATCAAGGATGCCAAATCGCTGTTTGACTTTGAAGTTAAAAAAGATGCTTCTGTATGGAATTCCATGCTATCTGCTAATTCGACTAATGGAATGGCCAAGAAGGCCATTGCCTTGTTTGGAGAGATGGAGTTAGCAGCACCTGTGCTTGAGATATAACTTGAGCTTGTGATCATGATAGCTTAGTGCAAGAAGGATAAAAATGTCTCAAATCATTAAATAATAAGTTTTGTGCTCTTTATGGTGCTATATGAGCTTCTCTTTTAGGCATGTGGATTGTTGGTTATTCAGGTAGTGCCAGTTTACTTGACGAGGCTCTTGACTTCATCAGACAAATGCCCGTGTACCTGATGCTTTTATACAAACTACTCTTCTACTAGCTTGTGGAGTCAGGAGTCAAGAGTCAATTGAAATCCAAATATTGTAGAATGAGCTGCAAAATATTTTGTTTCAAACTCAAACCAAATAATGTTCTCAGTGATGTGTTTCTCTACACTATCGGTCGCTTTTGGGATGTGGGAATCCATGCAGAACTTGAGGACTTTCATGGAGGATTGCAATTTGATGACTCTAAAAGAGTGAAGCTTTATAGACGTGGATACTAATTGCATACATTTGACGGGACATATCACATTCCAAGTATAGAAACATGGGAGAGGTCAACTGGAAAATTGGAGGGTGGTGGGTGACTTCCCCATAGTCATGTTTTGGAGAACAAAAATGAGCAGATGAGAACGTTCACTTTGTCTTGTGTGCACACTGAAAGTTTGTTGACAACATCTCATTCAGATGCTAATTTATAAATTACATATCTAAGAATTTGATGTCTCTACTGCCATAGATCAGCCAAAGTTGTATAAGATTGATGAGTGGGTGATCTTTATGCTTCTATCACCATATGAAGGATGAGATGTGTAGATGCCAAGTTTACCCAAATCGTAAATTTTGGAAGTCACTTCCCGACAGTGATGACATCAGAGCTGGAGTTAAAAGAGCCTACGAAGAATTTTTTGTCTAAGTCTCTAAATGCCAAACTAGCAAAAACATTTGGGTAGCCACAGTCTCGTTTCCTTCCAAATTGAATTTGCTGTTTGATCAAGGGAGAATTCTTCTGCAGCACAAGCAACCAGAAAAGGAAAGTTTTGAAAGTTGGTTTTGCATTGGTCCTGTTGTTCACCCGGTTTTGGTTATTTTTATTCCTACAAAGTTGCCGAAAATGTGACCTGCCAAGTTGGCACTTGAGGAGATCTTTGAATGTAGCATGTAACAGGTTGTAAGGTCAGCGCATATATCCACTAGGAGGCACTCATCATGACTTTCTCCCAGTCTTTGGAAGGTGTTGATGTCCCCGAAGAAGCAAGACCACAGAAAAGGTAGTGTATGTATCTTTTATCTCTTAAATCTTGTTTCTTTGTTTATTCTGCCTTGTTTTGGGTGTATTTTGCATAGCATATTAAATAAACTAAGCCGATGAAACTGTTAATGTTAATTGAATTCTATAATCTTTTTCAAAATAGTATAAGATCATGTTAATTGAAGTCAACATACTAAACATTTTTTCCTGTCAAAATCACATCGAAACTTTACTAAACTAATCGTGGTGCACGTGCACACAACCACAGATTACAGGAATTTTATTACTCACTAAACAAAAGTTGCATCCCTATTGCAGGCTTTGCTGCTGGGGATAATCTTATATTACTCCTATGGTCAAGAACTATTTGCAGGCTGAAGCAAAATATTTATTGATGCTCTCGCATTTATCAGTAGCTTTACTGTTTATGGCCGAATTCTAATGATGGCGTGGATCAGGACCACCAGGACTCCTTCGCTTCGACTCAAGATGCCGTCCAACCTGCCTCTCAATGCTAGCCTTAAGCAATTCTTTAGCACTTTCCATCGCTGTCTGGCTGCTACCCTTGTTTGAGTACGAGCCACGAACACGAGCTTCGTTATTCTGAAGGGAAAGCAAAACCAGAAAAACACATAACCAGAGTTTCATGCTACCCATTATCAATTTGAAGTCTCAATGTAGGATGTTTGGACATATATGTATATATAGAATATCATTCCTGTTATGATTTGATAATTAAAAGTGAATGGAATCAAATGTGGGATTAGTTTGATTTGGTGATCATTTTCTGATGCAATTAAATCGCAGAACGATGATAGTGCTGAGCATGTATGTGCTACAAAATATTGCTTCCACAAATCTACAGTCAAGTATATGGTTGAGTTGAGAAAATATAGTAAGATACAAAGGGTCCCTTTGAATATAAATAATCTAATAGGCAAGTTGGTGTTTCCTTTCACTGAATCGTGCCTCTTCGAATTGTCCATATGCTCTAAGAGAAGGTGTGTGCCAAGTCATAAGCGTTGTCCATATGCAGCATGCACTAGTTGTTGGGGAACTTTAAAAGTTGGCCTCAATAAAGTACAAATTTTCATCTATAAAACTATATACAAGGAGAGCTCCTAGAATAGTATTCTACGTTGTATTGCTTGTACTTTCTTATGTTTCCCACAAAATCAAATGGTTATTATTGTCAAGGCCTTGGGGTTAGCCAAAGTGGTGAGGGTGAGTGGGGAAATGAGTTTGGATTATTAGGTTAAATCAAGGGGATCAAGGGGTTAATTCCCTTCCATCGTAACTTATTGTCAAAAACCTCTTTACTCTTAGTAGTGAAACATTTTTTAATATTAAAAAGTGTGAATTTACTATATTATTCTCATTTAATTAATAATTTCAATTCTTAATGTTTGTATTAACTAAGGACATTTTTTGGCATTTTGAATGTTTTACCATTATCTGTCTTTTGCTTTATATAATAGATTTCAATTATTAATGTTTGTATTAGTGCCCGTTTGACATTGCTTATTTGGGACTATAAGTGATTATTTTGAAATTTTTGAAAGCCCAACCTGTTTGGTAAAAGATAATAAAATAATTTATTTTCAATAATTGCTATGAGAGAAAGCAAGTGACGAACTCCTTTCATTTTTTGATTATGCAGGAATCAGCTTTGAAGAGGCGTTGGGTTTAATGAAACTTTCAAAATTTCAAAAATAACCCCGTGTTTTTTTTACCAACCGCACTTCTAACAAAAAGTTTACCAAAAATCAAACTGCTTTCTTTCACAGCTGATTTCTCTCACAACAAATCAGAGTGATTATTTTTACATTACAGCAACGCCAAACTTGCCAATCAAAGGACATTTTATGGTATTTTTAATAGAGAATTTTTGTATTTCTCACATGTCAAAAGAGTAAAGCCGGCGGCTATACAATTTCAAAAAAAATTTAGAAAAACACGTATAGCCGGAGCTATACTATTTTTATTTTAAAAAAATTAGGACAAAACTGAGTATAGCCATTCGGCTATACTATTATTTTTAATTAATATGCATATTTTTTAGGGGGTTTCACTAAAACACCCAAAATAGGGGTTGAAATTATAAAAAAACTCAAGCACTATTTAAACATATAAACACACCCAAAACCCATCATTACACACACTCAAAACCCATTTATAAACACACCCAAAAAGTTGACTTTGGGGTTGATTTTGGGTGTGTTTCTATGTTTAAATAGTGCTTGAATTTTTTTATAAATACATGTCTAGGATTGGGTTTATTTATAAATTTGTATATTTTTTATTCAATAATATGTGAGAATTATGTGTACAAAAAATTGAGAAATACATGCGTACATACTCGTATCGTGCATACATATTTTTTAATGATACATTCGTGTTCTGCAAACATCTTAAAGACTCGGTAAAGTTCACGTTTTTTAAAAAGCAAACGTACAATACTGGTATTATACATGAATGCACATATTTTTCATGTTTAATACACGTATTTTTTACATAAATTTATAAGACACAAAATTCATGTATTATACACTTAATTCTCACATATTATTGAATAAAAATAATATATATTTAAAAAATAGTATAGCCCCACGGCTATACGCAGTTTTTCCTGTTTTTCTATTTTTTTTTAAAAAGTTATATAGCCGAACGGCTATACGGTTTTGACAAGTGGCGCATATGTCCTGGGCCGGGCTTCATTTATGTATAGTATAGCCGAGCGGCTGTGCTAGATTTTTTTTGAATTTTTATACAAGAAATAGTATAGCCGTCCGGCTTAGTGTTTTTAAAAATCGTACAGCCGCACGGCTGTACTGTTTCTACATTCGAAACCAAGAATATATAAATAATATAGCCGTTCGGCTTGACTCCATTGTTGTAATGTTTTTTAAAATAGTATAGCCGGCCGGCTTTACCGTTGATGTATAGTATAGCCGCGCGGCTGGACTATATTTTTTGATTTTTTTTAAAAGTAATAGTGTAGCCGCGCGGATATACTCGTTTTTCCTAATTTCTCAAAACTAAAGATAAAATATTTTGATACAATTCCAGTTACAACTTCAATGTGTGTTAAAATCTGGGTTTTTGTTTGCTGCGTCAGAGTTTGGGAATCATTCTTTGTACTAGTTCCAAGCAATAGGCGAAGATCCTGATGTGGAGATTGTCCGGTATTTTTGACAATCCAAGTTGGCTAACAACGAAGGGGTTTTATAAAGCTTTCCTTTAAATTTTGGACGATTTACACATAAGCTTTTAGTTTGGGGAATTTTTATTTCAAATTAAGTATTTATTTAGTTATGATATTTGAACTTCGAGAAACTTAAAAGTGTGTGTGCCACTACAATAATATTTGAAGTTTTATTTAGTTATGATATTTGATCATCAACTCAATGAGCTGCACTTTCCTTTTCTTATAAAGAACCAGGTGGGTCGTAACATGAACAATCTCAGAATTACAAATAATGAGTCTGTTTTCTTGTTAAACAAAAGTATAGCATCCCCATGCGCATGTCACAATTGAAATTGAATTTTTATACCTTGGAAACTTTCGAACAACAGAAGCCATATGTAAGAAATGCCCGATTGACTGATGAAAGCAGATATGTCCTTGCATCTAATAAAGGTTCTGGTAGAAAACTTATCATTTCTCCACCCCGGCAGCTGTTGCTGGCAACCCAGATGATTTCTCGGTGGCCACAGGGGCTTTCTTACTGCCAGGCCCTGTTGAGACTTTAACCATTGCTGGTCTTAGAAGCCGACCTCCAAGTAAAAAGCCACGGCGGATTTCCTGAATTATAATCCCTTCCTTGAATTCTTGAGACTCTTCACGTGCCACAGCCTCATGTAGCTGTGACAGAAAGTTGAAAACTTAAAACGATGGCATGGGAACATTTATCAAGTTGCAGAGATGGCAAAACTAAAAAGATTCGCATATCAGTACATTACCATCCTAGTTTACAAACCTTCCTGATAAGTCATCATTGAGGTTCTACCAAAAATATTGCATCTTCTACCAGAAGAGATATCAAGCCATAGAAGCCTAAATCAATAAGAAGCAAAACATACAACAGAGAGCAGAGTCAAGGCCAATTTTGGACAGATGGACTAGTGGGAAAATAATCAAGCTACATGCACCATTCAAAGGCTGATACATCCAAGTTACCATGACTGGTATTAATAACAAATAGCTAATAATGAATTCAAGAAAATGCTTCTTGACAGGGCAATCTCCTACAGGTAGATGCATACTGTAGACACATCAAGGAAGAATTTTCACTGAAGGCCCTGGAAATTTGAATCAGATGAGAATGCACAAGTGTTCCACACACCTGTATCCATGTTGCAGTTTTGTATGAAAGCTTAACCATCCAAAATTTGATCAGCCCTTGGGCAATAGTGAGAGGTCCCAAAAGATAAAGGATACTGGAAACTACCCAAAACTTAGAGCAAGTATTGAGGCCTTCAAATGCAAATTAACATTTGTCCCAATCTTTTCCGAATTAAAACAGTTGAATGCATCAGTCCCAGATTTTATACTGAAGTGCGCACACAAAAATTACACTACAAGAGTGCTCCTACTCTATGTAAAACAAACAATAAACTACTGACAGTAAGTCCGCAAGGGAGAGGGGAAAAAGAGTAGAATGAAAGATTAGGTTCTCCTTCAATTGGTAGAAAGGAGAGGACAGACAAAATGCAAGGGGCTTATTGCCCGAAGAATCATACAAAATTTGCATATGAGCTAATGTGCACATCCTACCTCAAACATCCTTCCAAAGATCGAATAATAATTTTTCATCATTTGGACCCAAGAAAAGATATCATATTAAATCCTCGAAAGGTAAACAAAATCAGGATTCAATTTTAAGATCTCTTTAACTTTAGAATGTGTTTGACCGGAGAAAGAAGCATGAAAAGCTAGTCAGCAAAAAGGTAAAAATTAAATATTTAGAGTATACATTGAACCAAGTAATCTTAAACACCTTCACTTACCGAAGGATCAAAAGACTTTCCCACAGTTGGCACGACAGCCACATGCAAGCTCTTCATAGTCTCCACCAATTGCTTGTATATACCTTGGTAACTTGCATCAATCTTTTTTTCCTTGTCAGTCTCGGGTTTAATGTATTGTTTGGCTCTCTCAAAATTGTCAACCATGGGCAAAAGACTCTCAATAACTTCTTCTTGGGCATCTGTCCTTACTGTAAGTCTCTCCTTCTCAAATCTTTTTCTACAATTATCAAAATCTGCTTGCAAGCGGATAAATTTCTCCTTCCCAGACGTTGTCTCTGCCGACGAGGAAGATACTTTCTTGACTAATTTATTCTTCTCATTTTCAAGTATTTCTATCTTGGCCTCAACTTCTGATACAGTTTCTTCATCTCCGTTAAATATAGCTTCCTTGTAAACTTTAAGGAGGGTCCTCAAACGGGGCAAATGGTGTTGATCTGCTCCAGTTTCTGAAGCTTCTACATTACTCCGAGTACGATCCTCTTTGGCATTCGTCTAGACATAAAGTACATATATAAGATTAACAATCTAAATACAGATAACTACTTACAGGAACAACCAAATAACGAGAAATTAAGTATACATATTTAAGTTTGAAGAGTGAGAGTCTGTTGACAACTGAAAATTAGAGACTTGTTTAAATTACTGAGATATAAATACGGAAGAAGCAGATTCTTAGACTTCAAAAAGAAAATTTAGAACAAGGAGTAAGAACATTTCAAACAGGATTGGAGTTTAAACAAGCCCTTAGAACTGCCTTAACATACACAAGTCCAAAGGAAATGCTTGATTGTTTGATTGGAAGCAAAGTAACTAGAATTAACGGCTCATGCTTCTTTCATTTCAAACAAAACATCCAGAAAGTTGTTGCACATTTACACTATACCTATGAAATCAAATGCCATCACACTAAGATTTCAAATCCTGCAAACCCATTGGACCCATGAGTCCATCACCATTAATTTTACGTAGCACATAACAATTTGGAAAATTTCCCCTAATTAAGAGATGAATAAGGCAAATAATATAAACAAAAATTGAAAACAAGAAACTAGAGAGAATGAAGAAAAGCGTACTTACTGGGGGAACGGAGTCTCGAGGAGCTAGATGAGATTTGAAGGAAGAGGCACGCCTGTTTCTGCTTCCGCTTCTGCTGCTCTGACTAATAATAGAGGAAGAGTTGTTGAGAGAAAACCCTAGACGGGGAAGCGGTAGGGGTTTGGAGGGTTTTGAGGGCAAGGAAGCAGAGAGGCGAGGGGGAGCTATGAAACTGTGGTTTGGGAGAAACAACGAATTCGCCATTAAACGCTTTTTTCAAAAGAAGAAACAAAAGAATCACAATTCAGACCAAGTCTGGTTTATTGTTGCTGCGGGGGACGAACAATGGGCACGCTTCTAGTCCGCCACTGGGTGTATGTGTTTAATTAATACAAATTTATAAATAAACCCATCACTCTTTTGGGCTGAAGCATCCACACTTTTCTAGAAGATTCTATTAACACCCTCAATCAAGGGATCTCCGATATTGAGATTGGGATATTCGAACACAGGACCGGGACCTCAAGTGATCTCCAATATTGAAGTGGGATTTGACCTGAATGCAAGGATGACTACTCTTGCTATTTTGGGTTAATTATATAGAACCTTAAAGTTTATTTCAAATTCATATATAAAGTCGCAGAAAACTTACAAATAAGATCATCCATTATTTAGACGGTCAGTAAGTCGATTAAATGCTTACATAGCAAACAATCGTAGGTCCCAAACAAATAATAACCAATTCATTATGAGAACACTACTCTCTTAACACAACACAGCTACACAAGTAACTCATTTCATAAACATTGAAATGAGAACTCAAGCTCATTGATGACCAAGTACATTTCAAAAGCCAATGAACGTACACCGTTTTTGTTTGGACCACAAAGTGGGCAGTCTCTGATCTCCAACAACCACCAAAGAGTGAAACAAAACCAACTTTTCCTGGTCACTTCTTTAATACGAAAACCAGAAATGGGATTGAATGACGAACCACCACAATTACATATAATCAGATAAATCCTTGTTTAGAAGAAACAATGAGCACGAAATCTGAATCATAAACATTTAGCATTAATAGCTTGATTTTGAACATGGAAAACCAAGTCTACAAGATTGTTTCAACGTCTAACACCACAAACTAAAATAACCAGAATACAAATATATAGCTACTGCAACAGTCAGATTAGTCAGCTTCCTGCCGGCCTCGAGCGCCTGCGATAAAATACAGAATACCAAGTATCAGGTGAGGAATTCATTTTATAATCCCCTGTTTAAAAAAAAAAAAAAATGGACAGAGTTATAATAAAGGCAGTATCTATTCACACTAAGATGGTTTTTGTTTTACCCCATTTCTTCTACTAAGTGTGTTTCTAAGACATCTCAGCTCAACATTTATGTAAACAAAGATTCACATATGAGGATGAATAAGGCATCTAAGCTTCAGGTTGCACCGACTAAAACCAGTAAGAACCCCAGTTTTGAAATAAACAATATGTTCAGATCAGTTAAGTCAGTTGGCTAATCTTTTATTTTGCCAGAGAAGCTTAACTGACAGTTCGTTGTGGCTGGAGATTCAAATGCTAAGGAAGACAGATGGTGCATATAATGCTTAATTTATAGGCTCTAGCTAATCTTTTGTTATAATGTTGTGATAACCCAATACCCAAAGCAATCTCTTTTTTTTTTTTCCCGTCAAAAGCTTATGTGATTCACTCTTGGAAGATGGTATCCCACAATGGAGTTGAGTTTAAATTAAAAGAAAATTTTAATAGATATCTAGATATAGAGAGGCAAAAGACAACACCAGACAAGATCCTGAATTGTACTCTATTTCCCATCTTGAACACTGTATACAACAAAATTTAACCCAAGAAAATGATCCAAACGATGTCATCCTCCTAAACCCAAGAAAATGAGATGGAACTATGGAAAGAAAATTGTTCGGCATTGTTAACGATGTAAATAGTGTTAAAGCTACATGAAGAAAATTAGGTACACAGCACTGCCAAACGGAGTGGAAAAACAGGATTTATGCATGTAAATCCAATAAAAGGAGCAAGGATTCAAAACTTATGACTGCATGACTGAAGCATGTCAGATATAAAATCAGTCATAAGGTACATGTTGTATGAATTGACAACTGAATTCAATTCGGCGAGAAGAGATTACCTGTACAGAAACTTTTGTTGTAGCAGCCACCAGTGGTTCACAAAGAACAAGCTTCAACAGCTGAGGCTCTTTGATATTGAACATCAAGCCTTTCAAGCAGTTTGGAATAAGAAAGATCCAGTTGGTTGTTCACACCTTCAGTTGCATTGTACCCTTTATTGCCATTGTCCTCAGTGCAGCCAACATCATCAAAACCACCTTCAACAGGCTGGTTCATATGAATAATCTTACCAAACAGTTGAAACGAACTTCTGCCAACCTTTGTTGAGTTGCAGTACCGGTTTCCATCCAGTTCCGTGCCAAAGGAATGCACACTACTCTGGCTATCTGGTGATAATTCATCAGACTGTGAACTGCCAATGTTCAACTCAGTAGACACCCTCTTCAACTTTGGCACCACATTGTTGCCAAAGGAATTGTAAGTGCACATCTGAGGAGTATTCTCACTTAACAAGTGGGATAGATTAGATACACAGTATAGATCTTGCCTGGCTCCCTGCATGCCAGCAGGAAAAGTGTTATAGTTCAACAAGGATGCATTCAATTGCCCCATTGTTGAATTAGGTGCTCCTGGCACAGGAAAGAAGAATTCTTCCTCTGCATTGGTCAGCAGCCCAGGACTCATAGGAGCTCTGAATCTCTTTGCGGGGGGAAATGCAGTATGAATTGAAGGTGTTGATGCAACATAGTCAACTTGCCATGGGCTCACCCTCTTAGCATTCTGCAGAACTTCAGGTTCATCCCAAGTAACCTATAATAGAGGGGTCATTAATTATTTTAAACTATCTCTTGGCAAAAACTATAAAAAACAACATAAGTCCAAGTGGAGAGAAAATAAGATGTGCTAAATGCAATATATTCAGAATGTAACAAAATGTAGAAAATGATTAATATTATTATGTGATTTCTGCATAAAATTTTAATATGAAAATACAAGCACTTCTCTCTCCCTCTCCCTCTCCCTCCGTGCATGTGTGTGTATTTATAGTGTTTTTATGCCTGATATGATAGGTTGTGCTCTTTATCTATTTGGTGTGAAGCACAGAAACTGTGGTTTGCTAAACCGCAAACAGAAAAGGACAATAAAAGATCAGTGTACAATAATTTGGCAATGGCCACGACCCTGGCTAATTTTTGAAAGAGCATAGTCTCAACACAATTCTATAGATACTTAACAATCCACAACCTGAATCACATTATCCTGACATGGTATTTCTTTTCATAACAGTAAGTTTGGCAACACCAAAAAGCTTATTTCAATTTTCCCCTTTTTTCTGCTGCAAAAGAAATATAAGTCAATGAATTTCAACCTAATTGATATCATGTATTTGAACAGAAGACAAGTCTACAGGAAAGTTGGTGTCATATGATATAAAGAAATTATGCACCCACCTCAACCAAAATACAGATCAACTGCTCTTTCATTTCAACTTCTACTTCCACAATTACAATGCAATATAAATTAGATTAACCTATTATAAGTCATTTAAGACAAGCAACGCATGGCAGAATATTTAGGAGGCATTGCTTTATTGAAAATCATTATCTCACTTATCAATGCCAGCAATTATACAGGACTAGAATTCAACAGGAAATCTTCTGGGATAAACTAAAACATAAATCTGTCAACACATCCCAAAAGCCATCTGATCAAGTCAAAACCAAATAAAATATTGAATGTTTCTTCAAAATTATGTACCATATCTGCTTTCTAATGCATTTCCACAAATATAAACTACCATGACATGTTCCAAATCAAAGAGGGTGGGTTAGCACCCTGCGGATAGTGACATGTACGCAAACCTATACCCAATTGGATGGATCACAGTAAATTGTTTCATATAAACAAGAGGATGAATTTCTTACGCCTACTTCACTGAGAAGCTAATAACAATTAAATAAAACTCAAAATAAGTGAGACCAAAAGCTGAAGAACCAATACCTGAAGCATACGCCATGGGGAGCGCTGCCAAGGCCTATTGTCTGGGATCGATACCGACGACAAGGTGCCCTGAAACCAAGTCATCCTGGACGAATCCTCGGTCTCCACGGACATCTTCACTCTCATCCCGGCCGACCAAAATACATTTAAAGCCTTCTCCACCACCTCGGCCTTCACCACAAAGTCTGACCACCCCGCTTTCGGATAGTACACCACCTCGAAAGGCCTTCCCGCCGCCGCCATCTCCGCCGCCCCTACCACGGCCTCTGCCGACATCACCTTCCTTCCAGAACCTTCCTGATCCTCTGTCTTCACCCTCATTGTGGTCGTCGCTCCGCCACCAATGTGAGAGCTCCACCTGGAAGCGCAGTCAGAGCTCACGGTGGACCTGACTGCGCGGCGAACTCCCACGAACATCTCGCCTCTCGAGTTCCTCATGAAAACGACGGAGTCCCCGGCGACGAGCATCTTGTGGTTGACGAACTTGCTCCAGCCGGTGGTGAGCAAGTGCCGCCTCGGAGTTCCCCTGTAAATATGGCGAAAATCCCAAACGACCCCGTGGAGGTCGGTGACGGAGAGCGTCTGGACTGGCGGCCACGGCTGGGTGGTTAGTGCGGGGGAGATGGAGTTGGGGCCAACCACCG